TCCAAACCCCTCCTTTGGTACCGTAGGATTTTGGACAACTGGCGCCATGCTGCAATTCGGGCGCCACTTTCAAATACCGCGTTTTCCAGTTCTGCCCTCGGGGCCTTTGCAGAAATGCCCCTGGTACCGTACGTGTCACCGGTACTTATACCGGCTCCCCGTACAGTACGGGGACCAGTCTCGTACCAGTTTTCTGCTGCTGTACTCGTACTCAGTGTGACTTGCTGTTTCGGCATTCGGAATCCAAGACTTCGACTTTGTGCCTTGCCACTGTGTCTGCGTTCGACCCTCAGTCCGAGTCAGTCGTGTCGAGTGAGTGTGTGTGTGTGTGTGCTCTCACTCTCTCCCTCTCTCTCTCCTCTCCCTCAGCTCACCCTCAGCCTCACGCCCGTGACACATTGCATTTTTCTTCAGTATTTATGTCAGACTCAAGGGCTGATGTAGAACAGCCCACGCCGGAGTCCGGTTCTAGATCGTCATCTAGAGACAGATCATCTGCATAGGACTGATCCTCAGCCTCCCGATGTTCATGCAGGGCAAGCTGGTTGCTGCTTCCGTAACGCTTGCGTTGCGAGGTTCTACTTGCAGCGGGTGCCTTTGCACGCCTGCCGAGGTCCTTGGCTTCTAGATTGACTAGATCCGTATGGTCTTTGAGTCTTTGTCGGGAGATATATCCTTCAGGGGCCACTCCCATAACTACATCCATGCAAGACACGTTAGTCCATCCTAGGTTTGGAGTGGTGAACAGACTAGTCAAGTTCTGCTCCAAAGCCTGCATGGAAGTCCTCCACTTTTGGCCCTTGAGGGCCTCAAGCTTTAGCCTTGCCTTGAGTGCAGCGTGCTTATCTTGATATTGCGTAATGAGGATGTCCTCAAGAGTACGTACAGGAGTAGCTTTCAGCCACTCAGTCAGATCAATTCTCTCATAACCTGCAGTAACAACTTGGAGTTATATGAAACTCCGTACGGCGGGCTCGGTATTCCTGCCCATGATCATGCTTCGGTCTTCCTGCGGTGTCCGCAGTACCTCGAAGTATGAGCACATGGAACTAATCCTAGAGGTGATGCTCCCCTTCCCGTCGTACTTGGACGGCAGAGTGGCCGCCCTCTTGTCCACTACGGGACCGCTGTATTGTACGCCAGTAAGAACTGCGGCGTTTTGGGCTGATATTCCCGCATTTGGGACTGGGACCAGTGCAGAAATGTCGGCGCTGCATCTTGAGGAGCTGGCACCGGTTCCTGCGCTCGTCACAGTTCCGCTTGCTCTCTACATGACTGTGTTAGGGTGAGAGACTGGGACTGCAGCAGGACGAGGATTAGGAGGACGGGGGCCAGACAGTTGGGACTGTTTGAGGCTGACTATCTCAGCCTGCAGCTCCTGGTTCTGCTGCTCTTGAGCTGTCACACCGGACTCTATATCTTCCAAGGTCCACAGTCGAACCAGGGCTGCTACGACAGCAACTAGCTTCTCTTGGAACCGGTCATCATTCGATTCCGGAACCGCGAGGAGGGCCACTTGTGTAACAATACTTGTGGCTTTAGCTGCTGCCTTTGCCTCCCTCTCTCTGTGCATTGCGTCCTCATAAAGTTTCTGAAAGAAAGGTTTCTCGTTCTCGGCCGCTGTGTCCAGCATGGCCTTCCATTGCTCGGATGTGATGTCCGCCATGCTGGAGGATAGGGCGTCAGTAGATCTCTCAAGAGGGGTCCGCACTTTGCTCACTTTTGGACGAACACTCCTCTTACCCTTCCTCAAACTCTCAAAA